TCCCCTACTGCCATGGGTGGGGAGGTGACCTTCTTGTCCTCAGGCCCGGCATCCCCTCTCGTCCCTCCTGACTTCCTCGCATGCTGGTCACCCCTCACGACTCCCCCTGGCCAGCCTTTGCAAGGTCTTTCCTGCCTCTCTAGGCTTCTGATCTCTATCCTCTTCAATCTCCCAGCCAAGAGGTCCAGAGCCTCGTTGTGGCCCAAGCACAATGCTAAGCGGCTCAACTCCTTAAACATATGAACCCAGTTAACCAGCCACCCAGGGCTAAGCCCTACCTCGTCCACGAAGCGGGCATTATCCCTCACCATAGATGAGGAGACTGGGGTGGAAACAGGGTAACTAAGTAGCCCAAGGGGCCATGGCAAGTGAGAGCAGAACCGGATTCAGGGTCAGGCTCCAGAGCCTCTCCTCATGTGCATCTTCCATTTATAGCACCTTTCATGATAAATTATATAATCCCTACCTGGCATTCCATGGTCCACTTTGGTGATTCTTGGGCTTATTTTATATCCCTTGGGAGAACTTACCCATGAAGGCAGGGAACATTGTCTTTCTTATCCTGTTAATATGGACCATACTCAGTGATCTGCAAAGATATTGACTGAATAGCCTCTAAAAAAATTGGAAAAATAATAAACGCTCTATTAGTCAGCTCCAGCTAACATGACGAAATAACACAGGCTAGGTGGCTTAAACAACAGAAATTTCTTTCTTTACCGTTCTGAGGTTGAGAGTCTGAAATCAGGATGCCAGTATGGTTAAGTTCTGGTGAGAACGCTCTTCCTTGGCTGCTCTTTCTTGGCTTGCAGTTGGCTGCCTTCCTGCTGAATCCTCACACGACCTTTCCTCAATGTATGTTCTCAGAGAAAGATATTTCTCTCTTCCTCTTCTCATAAAGGCACTAATCGAAGCATGAGGGCCCCACCCGCATGACCTCATCTAACCCTCATGCCTCCCAAAGGCCTGTGTACAAATACTAGCACCTGGAGGTCAGCCTGTGAATTTGGAGACTGGGGAGGGGGTAACATAAACATTCAGTCCCCACCACCCTCCAAGAGTTTTAAGTTATCTTCAATGTTTCATCGTGACTTTAAATAACTGCAAAAGATATCATTTTGACTGTATTTGTAAATGTTATTTTTATAGTAAAATTCTTAAACCACTCTTATAAATGTGTCAAGTGTAATATAAACACCAAAACAATTTGAACACCATCATCCTTCATTTAAAAATCACGAGCACATTTCCCATTAGTTCAAAAATTGTATATTTTTTTTTCAAAACTGCATTTCCATTCTATCTCACTGCAATACACTTTTATGTTCCAACGTATTTAATTATCTTATTTCTCTGAAATAGATTATGAATAAATTGAAATTTAGTATTTTATTCTTTACTCCAAGTATTTTAAAAATTCTTTCTGAACTGAGTATCATATTACTGTAATAATTTATACTAAAACATATATTATAAATTTTGGCAGGTATTAAGTAAAAGATAATTTTATTGGAAATGCATCTTTAACAAGGTGGACGGGCAGGGTACATAACGACTTGAAGAAAAGCAATTTCCCTGACGTACTATTTCAACATTCCCCCAGAGACCTTTACAGGTGGAACAGGTCACCCTAGTGCATTCCTGGCTCTGGTTACGCAGGGGAAGGCAAGCTGTGCAGGTCTAATAGCGCACCAGGCTTGAGCCACAGTGGGTTCTCAGACAATCAAGTTTAGGAGAGTTGATGTTCTGGGCAGTCAAGAACTCCTGCAGAAGGCCCCTTGAATGCGCTCCCCCTCTTCACTGGCTGCTCTGAAAACCTAGCCCTCAAAAGCAAGCTTGCTCCCCCTCTGAGCTCCAGACAAGATTCCTTTCAATCTACTTACCCCAAGTTGAAGTTCTCACGGGCTGGTAAATGCAGCGAGCTTATTTGCAAGCCAGGGTCATATCTGCCTGGCAACCCAACATGAAGACTAGAAGGACTATAAATGTTGACAGAGAACAGGCAGGCCAGCTTTGCACAAAGGAATCTGTTTTCATGCAAATAAACCCTAAGCAAGATGCCTAGAAAAGAGAGCAATGGGGATGGTTCTCACAGCCAATTGATTTCCAGAGAACATGCTGAAGGACTTTTTAAGGGCATCATTACAGCCATGCCCACTGAAAAAGAAGAGACTAAGAAGAAGAACCCTTCCCTTAACTTCCTAATTTTTCTCGTTCCGTACTCCCGACTCCAAAGGTTGTTTTGTTCGGATTTAGAACTAAACAGAGTTAGTTTTGTTTGGGGGTGAGGAGGGTGATCACCATGGCAATGCAGCGCTTTCCCTCTCTTTGCCTTCCCAGGAGGAGCGAAGTATACCAGGGTGTTCTCTCTCTTAGTCTCACTAGGATTGAAGGAACAAGGTAAAGGCAGCCTCTAACCAAGCAGACAAAAGTCATTGGTGTGTGGCTGGGTTTTCCAGCCAACTCGGTGTTTTCCAAGCACAGGTGGCAAATGTGATCTTTAGAGGGACTCTACTTGCAAAGTGGGCCAGTGTGTGTCTGTAAGTGTTGTGAAATCTTGGGCAAATCGCTCCAGTGCTCTGTGCCTCAACAGTTCTCATCTATAAAGTAGAGATGAGTGTCAGCTGCGTAAGTCTGACGACGGAGTTAAAATTAAGTTGGGAACACAGCAAACCTGTAAAAATTATAACAGTAATAAAAATGACACTGATAATGTATTATTATTATATTATTACAGTTTTGTCACTCCAACAGCCAGCTGTTTCACTTGGTAAAATACTCAGAAGTGACTTCCCTAATCATTCATTTGCCTCTAAGGCTTTCAGCCATTTTTCCTCTAATTTTATAATTCAGAAACTGAAGTACCAAGACCTTCCGTGACTTGCTCTCACTCAGTTGTAGCTGCTGGGCTGCACCACTAGGTTCTTAAGCAACACTCAAATATACCAGATACTGTGCCATATTAAACATGACATTTCCATACTGAATGAAGTGACAGGTCCCAATGCTCTGTAAGATCCTAAATATCAAAGATTACACTACAGCCTGTCCCATTTTAGCACTAAGGGTTTCCATTTTAGTAATTACAATCAGTTTCCACATATCATTATGTGTGGATTCTTCACAAAACAACTCGAAAAAAACATCACTTGCAGAGCAAGTGAGGAGTCAGCCATAAATAATATAACAGTAAGAACTAATGGGTATTGAGGGTTTGCCATAAGCACTTTGATCTGAACTTCATAGACATCATAAATTAAACACTTCCATTCTGAGAGCACCATCACTGTTCCCCTTTTACAGATTCGGAAGTTGATGCTCTATGAAGTTTAGTTACTCCCACCTCAGAAGGTTGCAGAGCTAATCAGTGGCCCCTGATTGTTCAGCATTGGCTCTAACGGAGCACTTTACACCAGCATACCTGCCCCCACCTAGTCCACGCCAGAGCTTATTAACTGCACAGAAAGGCATTTAACCCAGTAGACACTACCTTCAATCATGAGGAAGATCAGGCAGGGAGCAAAGAGGAGTTTTTAATCAAAATTCAGATCGCCCCACTCCTCCTTGGAGCGACCCCTCCGTGGACGCACTCGTGGAACGGGGTCTCTCGAGTTTGACATCAGAATATCCGAACCCCAATAAAGAGCGCAGCCCGTGCCAAGTCGGCAGGCGAATGCGGAGAATAAGGCCTTTGCCTCCGAGCAAGTCCCAAATGAACCGTGGGGATACGAAGTGGACCCTAGAAAGCAGAGCCTGCATACCCGCCGGCTCCGAAATGCTTGGAATCGGACGTACACCGCTTTGTCCGCAGGGCGGTTCGTAACTGAGGTTTTCCGTGCATTACCTTCTGAATTCCTGGTGCCCTTGGGGTCGGGAACTTCGGGAAGAGGGGCACGTACTCCCTAAACGACCGGGTCTCTCTGCTACAAGAGGTTCCCCGTGGGCTTGGCAGCCACACACCTGTGTAGACCTCGGCTTCCGCCCGGAGAGGACGGTACGCGTGCGCCCCCGGCAGGGGATGCTGACTCAGCCCCGCTGCCCACATCCCTTCGCTCAACGCGGATGCTGCAGCTGCAGAAAGCGGGGGCGGCGGGGGTGGGGGGAGCAGGACACCTTAGCCCCGCCGCCAGCTCCCTGGGGCTACTGCGACACTCCTTCCCGCCCTCCCGGAACGGGAACTCTGAGGGCGCACGAGTTAACGAAAACTGGGGGAAGTGGGCTCTGGAAGAGGAACTTGGGGACCGCGGCGCCGCGCGCGCAGCTTACACTCAAACTGGAAAGAACCTGTTCTGTCCGCGGAGCCGCTACAGCCGCATGCACTGCCTGGGACCATCCCCAGGGCCCCTGATCCCACACCCCCAAATCCTCAGGATGCGGGTGGAACTGGGCGCGCAGAGGAGCCGCGAGAAGACGGCCAGGGGACCCTGCGCACTCCCGGCCGGGAGTGTTCGCCAAAAGGGTGCAGACGCCCCCGAACAAGTCCGCTTTCCCCACTTGCAGTGCGGCAAAACGCCGGGATCTAGTCCGGCCAGGCGCGCAATGCCGCGCCGGGTTCTGGAGACGCGCCCAGGACCCCGGCGGCATTGGCGGGAGCGGCCCCTTGCGGGACGGCGACGCCGTTACCTTCCGTGACCCCCGGCTTGGCTCAGAACGGGCGCGCGCCCGGTGCGGACCGGGTACACGTGGGCCAGCGCGCGCGCTCCAGACAGGCCCCCTCCTCCGCGGCGCTCGCGGCGCTCGCAGCACATGGTCGGCGGCGGCGCGCCCCCGAGGCCGGCAGAGACCGGCTGCAGCCGGTATAGGATCAGAGAGAGAGGGAGAGGCAACGACGCGGGGCCGGGAGACGGGCAGCAGCACGCACTACCCGGGCGCAGGCGGGTGGGGGGCGGGGGGAGGGTGCGGCAGGGGTGCCCCAGGCACGGGAATAGGTGGGGGGCCTGGGCGGGGCGCTGCGGGCGGGCGCCGGTGACACCCTCCTGAACCAACTTGCGATAGGCTCGGGCCCACGCCCTAAGGAGTTAAACCTTTCTCATGTTACCCAGCGGCTTATAAGGAGGGGAGGCCAAGCCTACGCCTTATTGGGAGCCTTTTGGGGTTTATTCTCTGCCCTTCTAACTTGGTGAGTTGGTTTTATTATTTTACATGTTTCAAACTTTGATTATGGGGTATGGGTTTTTATTTTAATGTGTTAGGAGCTTTTTTGCCTGGTGGGTTGTGGGAGGCGGAGGAAAGCACTTAAGATCTTAACATTTTGTAGAGGTTATTCTGAAAAATTTTCTCTGACAGTTCGGAATGCTCAGGGTCACAGGGATGAAGCGCTCTCGCCAGTGTGGGCAACTGAAAGTTGAATGATCTTAGCCCTGATACAGTGGGTTCCGCAAAATACCTAAAGGCAGGCTTGGCCTTTTAAGTGCACCTAGCCTCGGATTAGGGGCTCAAGATCGTGGTGCAAATCGGGGACGCTGGGCTCAGCGCCTGCATGGATTCCGCGTGGAGTTGCCTGCGCGTCCCAAGTGCCAAATGTCAGAGGTACCTTCCCTAGGCTCGCGCGCACACGCAGGGCGGCCACTAAGGCAGTGCGAGGGAAAGTGGGGTTCCATGTCTCTCCCACCGAAAGCTCGCAACCGGGGCGTAAGAATGACCCCCTCGCCCATCGCGGGAAGGCAGGCATTTCCCTGCAGAGCGCAGGTCCTACACCTTAATGATCAGAGCTGTCAGCGGCTGAAGCCTGCTCCGCTCAACTTCCAAGGTTCCCTGAGCTGCCAAGCTACAGGAAAGCGCCCCTGAAGCTGAGCAGTTCTGTAGCAAGGGAGGATGATTTTACAGAGGAAATGGGTTGTTTCCTTCTCGGTTTTTTCTTCTTTTAAAAAAACACTAAACCTCTGTCAACCCCGAATTTGTGAGGTGGCACATAAAATGTCACCAAACACAGGCATGTTAGGAAAAGCTCCCCAAAGCCAACTGGGGAAGAGCAATTGCAACTTATCAATCTGGAAGCTAGTTTTGTGTGCACTGCTAGACACTCCGTGTTAGCTCTTTCTCGAAAGAGATGGTCTCTATCCTGGAGAATGACATTTCTCAGCAATCTTACTAGTTTGCAAATCTTAATAAAAAGTGATTTGTTTACAAAGAATACCAAGTGCTTATGCTGAAATCTCTAAGTGATGCATCTCCCCATGTCCCAAGCACGATTAAAAGGCATTTTGGGGGTCGTCAATACATCCTGCCTGGTGGATACAGAAATACCTCTTCTCATAATTAAGGGAAGGGGGGGGCAAGGTAGAGAGTTACAGTATGTAAATAAACAATGCAGCCAAGTGGAAAAGCTCCCTCTATCTTAATAAGTACCACTAACCCTGAGCTTTCCTTCTGTGGTTTCCAAAAGAGGACTTTCCTCAGTGGAACTCCTGAGGAGGACACTTAAATTAGGGGCTCAGATTTCAGCAGCATGGTCTTGTAAAGTGGGTGAATCGGTTATATCCAGTGATTCAAAGCTGCTGAGGCAGCTGTACAGGTTAGGTTCGGGATTTTTTTTTTTTTAATAGAGAATTCAAATGAACTTCACCTAAATACACAATGATTTTGACAAATGGGGCCAGAGAGATCTTGTAAGCTTATCCAGGCTACGCCTTTAAGAAAAACGGATAGTGGCAATGCATTGCCTAGGCTTTGCTTATACCAGCAGCTACCACAATTTCCATCCAAAGCTTGCATTTTGAACTATACTCTGAACTGGCCCTGGACTAACACTCTGATGGTCTATAATAATCCGATATTTTATATTCTTCATGCCCCCAGGTCAAATCTTTTCTCAGCAAACCAAATCACAGTGAAATTCCCAGGCATAGCAGCTCAACAAGCTTTGGCAGAATATGCATTTATTTAAGGTTGAGACAACCAAATGCTCATAGGATGGATATACTCCAAACTGCCCAGTGTATTTTGTTATCCTTCCTTCGGAAGAGCATTAGGGTGAAGACAAAACAGCAGCTAGGAACCCACATTCAGAATCATACAGTTTTACGGCCAGGTCTAACCCCTGCTTCCACAGATGATGGAATTTAGAGACCAAGTGATTTCCCCAAGATTGTAAACAACTTCACAAATAATGCCGATGGGCCTCAAAGAGACAAACCCACGCATAGGCTTTGCGTCAGAGGACCCAACATGGGTTGGAAAAAAAGGGTAGCTTAGAGCAAGTCAGGGTCAAAGCCTATTAGAATTACAGTTTCTCAGGGCAGAAAGAGGTCTGAGATCATCGGAATCTAGTCCGTCTGCATTGTTTACCTATTAAGGACACTGACCATCCAGGAGCAAAGTGATTCACCCAAAACCAGAGTCACTCAGTTAGATCCCCTCACAGAAAACTAATATCCCTTCTCATCAGATATATTTACATGACCATAAAACCAAAAAGGACAGATGTTTCCCTATTCTGGAATCTATAGAGGCTTCCAAGTAACCAAGTTCAAAATTCAGACCTTAGTTTCTTGCTTTGTAGTACAGAGTCCCACAGTTTAAGCCAGGTGGCCTGCTGAATGAATGGAAAAAAGGAAAGGAGACCAGTCCAGGAAAGCATTTATTCTGCAATCAGGGACTTCCTCACTTGATGACTCTGTTTTCTAAGCACAGAGCATGCAGTGCATTGCTCACGAGCACCCCAAGACTCATAATTTACTTAGTAAACTTTTATTGAGCACCCACCATGTGCCATATGTGCTGCCAAGGCACTTGGTCTGGAAAGAGCTGCTGACTACACTGTAGGCGCCTGCACTGTGTGATCAGACATGCAAAGTACAGAAATTAGTATCCAGTCTGTTTTAGAAACCAGGTGATTCTATTATTATTCTATACTGTGCTCTTATCTTCAAAGCTAAATTTAGTAGGGCACAGGATGCTTTTGGATGTTAAAGTCATAAGCTTTAAAGTACGACTGGGTTCGGGGGATGGGGGTGGTGGTCATCTTTCCTTTATGGTATAATCCGTAATAACAAGAAGGTTTCTGTCCTCCAAAAACCTAAGAGTGCAAGTGAAAGTTACATTTGGATCTAGCTTCAGGAGCACTGCACAGATGTAAAGTAAAATTTTAAAAAAAAGGAACCCACTGGAGAGGCTCAGAAAGTAAACAAATAGAGCAATCTAAAGGCTGCCATCTTCTAACTAGCTGAGTGGATCGCACCAAGGTCTAGCTGCTTTTCACCCACATTTCTAAGAACCATCTAGCATGTGCACCTCCCTAGCTCCCTGGTCTCCTCGGGCTGCCAGCTTTGGCCTGAGGAATCAGGTGAGCTATGAAACAGTGCTGAATACAGAAATGTCAGCTGTTTAGGTGGAGCCTTAAAGATTCTCCAGAAACTCTTTGACTAAAGATTCAACTAGTGAGGAGCTCGGACCCAGACAGGTGCAGTGACTTTAGCAAGGTCACACAGTTAACTGGGAAATCAGGTCACAGGCCTCTCTCTTTACGTACAGAAGTCAAGAGAGCTTTTATTTTGGAAAAAAAATTGTTTTCTCAATCTATATAAAACATTCCCCTCCCTGGGAGCTGACACAGCAGGACCCAGGAGGCAGGAGATTCAATTCTGGAACATTTTGGTCAAGTCCCTTCCCCTCTCTGGGGGTCAGTTTTCCCATTTTTCAAAATAAGCAGCTTTGTACAAAGAGAAGGACAAGATGAGGTCCAAATTCCCTTTCAGCTCTAACATTCTGTGATTCCAACTCCATTCTGGGGCTACTAGTGAACCCTAATCCCACCGATCATGGACATGCAAATCGCTGTCATGACAGGCAAAAAAGGAGGGAGGGGCACCCATCACCGGAACTTAAATGCCGGCCTGATGCAGAGCCTTCTGCTGATGGTAGATAAGCACATCCCTGTACCAAAAGGGCAGTCTAGTCCTGCTCGTCGAAATGCACTACAACAAAAAGATTCTGTCTTCACCCTGCAGTGATTTTAGTCCAAAGAGCGAGATTCAGTCTCTCTCTGGGACCTCATCGATTTTATCCCAATATTTTTTTTAATCCCAATATGTTTATATTCTGGTTAGTTGTGAGTCCTCTATTAAGACTCTAAGATTTTATGTGCACCCTTCTAGGTCAGAATGATCATGGCAACATGGCCTTGGACAGTTCTACTTGTCTGACTGTGCTGAACTCTGGAAAGACGTGGCTGGATGGTTTTAAGTATGCATGTCATTCTTCACATTTCTTATAATCTTCAACAAGCATTTAAGTCCAAGGAGCCAGAGGCCATCTCCGTCTTTTCACTGTAGGATTCCCGAGGCCTAACTTTGGACCTGGCACCCAGAGGGACTTTTGAAAAAAATAAAGAGTTATGTGCAAGGTACTTGGTTTTGGGTTAGGACAGGTCATAGAGAGAGAGAGAGATCCAGATTTTGTTTTCTGTGAGCTTAAAATTTAATTGACCAAATAAGAAAGACTCATGAAAGTAAACAATACCCAATTATTAAATGATACCTGTCACATGAAGAAAGCCCCCTAGATGGAGCCAGTCAGAGAAAGCATTGGGGAAGGAGGATTTTGATGGCACTGGGCCTTACAGGTGCCAGCTATCGAGGGGCCTCCAGCCTGGGGAAAGAGCATGGCCACAGGCAAGCTGGTTGGAGCCTGGAGGGCAAGAAGGAGTCCATTTTGGCCATGGCAGGTGGGTCAAGGTCAAGTCCTAGAACAGGAAGAAATAAGGCTTCAAAGATAAGCTGGGGTTCAATTCTGAAGAACACTGGAAGTCAAGACAAATGTGGATTTTGCCATTCAGAAAGAGGAAAGCCATTGCAACACTGAGCAAAAAAAAAAAAAAAAAAAGTGACAATGCAGCATTTCGGATGACTAATCTTACAGGACATGAGGAACCAGTTAAGAGGCTAGTAAAGTGGTGGGCTTTGCAAGCAAAAGCTCAAACTACTGGCCTGGGAGGACGTAGAAGGGAAGAGGTAATGGCTGAGGATCTGGGTTGTAGGCTGCCCACCCCCTTCCCCTCCTTCCCTCCTGACCCCCTCTTTAGGGATAAACACTGTCCTAAAGTTAATACTAGGGGCTGGGCCGGGGGGGTGGGGGTGCGGGGGCCTTGTAAATCTTAAGTCTAGTACTGTTGTCACTCCGGCTCCAGCTGCCTCATCTTGGGAATGAATTTTGAAAGGCTAATGAGGAAGTGGTATTGTGAAAAGCTCCTTTGCTAACGGGCTCAGGTCAAGCCTCCTGTCTTACATCAGTTGCTTTCCAGAATGGGAAACAGTCGTGACAACTGCTCTGTAGCTGCTCAGCTAACATCTTGAGCTGTTTAACTGCCCTTCCCACCTTCCCATTTGCTCTCAGGATGACACATTTAACACATGTGGAAATGCAAAGGCCTTTGCTGCAGAGAGCTTAAGCTCCTTTAAAGCATCTTATGCCCAAATTCATGCAACCAGATACTTGATGGTAATAGGTTAAAAGTGAGCATATATAATCCTCTCAAAGTAGTAGGCTACTGTGGGAATGGCGCTATCAATAGGGTGAACTATATTAACGAGGCTCAGATTTGCTGCTTTTTAAGATTTATAGAGTAAATTCAGAATATTAGATCCTAATACCAGAAATTGGCAAATCTACTGGATAGATGAGGTCGTATCCTGTTGTCAGTTACTCTCCATTGATCAATAAAACCTGCCTTAGTACTTAACGTAATTTAATGGCTACAGAAAAGATACAGAGACACCCTAAAAGTTCACATGTATACAGCTGTATACTTGTAGAGAATTCTTAAACTCAAGGTGGGTTGCAATTAAGACAGTAAAACCATGGACTCATTATTACTAATTTTTAGTTATGGACTCTATGGACTCATAGATACTAATTTTTAGTTGGGCTAAAACCACATATCAGTGTCTCGAAGTATATGTAATTGCCGAGTCTTTGAAAACCAGTGTTCATGCGGTAGAGCCCAATGCAGAAGGCTTAAACTCTCTCCCCCTCCAGCATGAAATACAGTGTTACCTCTTACTTAGTGGTGTTAGGGTACAAGTCAGCTTGTTTGCAGTTTGAATGGAAAGTCTAGTGAGGTCAGGGGTAACTTAAGGTTAAGTTAATTGGCTGTCCAGGCCCCACAAGTTGGCAGTGCCTTATTTGGTCACTATATTCTTGCGTAGTATTTGCAGCGCACGTGGACATTCAATTGCTAATGCACCAACGGGTGATCAATTTTGGTAACTTACTCATGCCAAACTCCCAGTTTCCGCATTTGAATTTATAGTCCCGTTCTGTCCATGTCGGTCCATCCACAGTGGACCCTGATCATAATCATAAAGTTGCTGACTGAGTGGGAAATGGGATCAAAGAGAGGTAGCTGGACAATCTGAATGGTCAGAAGCATCAAGCGGAGATGCAAAGGACGTCCCAGGCACTAGTCCCGGGGAAGATGGTAGATGCACTGTCACGGTTTGCCTCCCAGCCTGCTTTTTTCCTAGGTTTCATATCTGATAACACACCTTTTGGTCACTTCAGTCTTCCTTGGCCTAACTTGTCTTCAAGTTCAAGGTCATCATTGATGCTTGGTCTCTTAGCTATTCTCTGTCCTTCAAACTGCACCTAAATATCTTCCCTGATGCTTTATGTTTATTTGTTTTTCCCACTTAGTTGTCACAGCTTGGAAGTCTTACTTCCACATTCTTTGGGGGCTCCATTATATGTTTTATTATCCAAAGACGTTATACTAACTACATATGATGTAAATATTCATCAACCTAAGAAATGTGGTAAGTAGTTCTTATTTGTCATGTTTGCTAAAAAATGTTAGAATCATCAACCTTCGTGCTATTATTGGTCTGATTTTTTTCCTAACTTTTCATTTCAGATTAAGAATGACCGAGAAGAAATCACAGCTTTGTTCCAGAGCCAATGTTTATACTCAAGTGCCTGACGGAGGATGGGGCTGGGCAGTAGCTGTGTCTTTTTTCTTTGTTGAAGTCTTTACCTATGGTGTCATCAAGTCATTTGGTGTCTTCTTCACTGACTTAATGGACAGTTTTGAGGAATCTAATAGCAGGATCTCATGGATAATATCAATATGTGTGTTTACCTTAACCTTCACAGGTTAGTATATCTTTCAGCTTAAACCCTATTAATTTTACTTTGCCTAACTGCATAGCGGCACTTGCTGTGTTTGTGATATATTTCCTCTATGACTTCTTCGCCCTTTCCAGTCCCAAGTGATGTGGTGGTCAAGGGGTCAAGGAGCTGAAGGGGGGAAAAAGCCGTATTGGCAGCCTCGACTGCCTTCAATTTAACACACATGTATTGGACACTGGCTGTGTGCGGATCCTTAGGATGCTGTAGATTACTCTGAGGACAGCAGTGACCCCCCCAGTTCTGTGGGATTGTAACCATTTTTAAAGAAGCAACATCAAAAGTACTTGGCCTTCTAGGCCCTGATCTCACAAAAACATGCTTATGTTGGGCACATGAAAATGTGGCCGAAGGAAGGGAAGGAAGGGAAGGAAGGAAGGAAGGAAGGAAGGAAGGAAGGAAGGAAGGAAGGAAGGAAGGAAGGAAGGAAGCTTCGTAAAGTACAGCCATCAGCCACTTAGAATTATCTGTCCCATCACTGTTGTCCAGTTGGTGTGCATAATGGAGAATTCACTGTACTTTCATATCATTTTCATAAAAATCAAGGGGAACTAAGCTAAAATTGGACCCTGAATGGAACTTTTTTAAAAGGAAAGCAAAGCAGTGAATATCAAAAATAAAACCATTCAAGCAATCATAGGAAAATGAAAACCCATTTTTATTACAGAATAACAAATATAATGCATATCGAATTTTATAGACACTCATCGTAACTCAAGATCTTTCATTTAAAAATATAAAAATGGAATTTTATACCATTACTCTGGCTTTCTCTTTAAGGAGCTCAAAGAATATATTGTCTAATTTAACCAAATACTGAAATACAGTTGACCACTGAAAATGCAGGGGTTAAGGACCCCAACCCCCAAACAGTCAAAAACTTAACAGTGATCCCTTGGTATTCGCAGGGGATTGGTTCCAGGACACCCACAGATACCCAAATCCATGGATGCTCAAGTCCCTTATATAAAATGGCATAGATCAATGCATACAGTCAGCCCTCCACATTTGTGGACTCCCATCCGCACATTAAAGATACTGTTATCGGTCTGTAGTTACTTGAATCTGCAGATGCAAAACCTGGGGCTAAGGAGGACCGACTGCATATTCTTTAAAATTCGAGCATAAGTGGACCCACCGAGTTCAAACCCATGGTGGTCAAGGACGAACTATAATTCCTGAACTAAGTACCCATTGCATAAAATGTATTATATAGTGTACATCGTCTCTGCATGTTCAAGACGTACGAGAGAATCTTGTTAAAGCTAATGCTTCTGTGTTACGTATTACGCATTGTCCTTCCATGATCAAGACTTCAAAGCAGGAACTGTATTAAAGCCAACACTTACACCTCTGGAAGTTAAAATGTCACACTCTGCTCTTTTATTGCAGCGCCGCTCTCCACTGTCCTGAGCAATCGTTTTGGACACCGCCTGGTGGTCATGGCGGGAGGAGTGCTTGTTAGCACAGGCATGGTGGTGGCCTCCTTTTCCCGCGAGGTTTACCACATGTACATCGCGATTGGCATCATCTCCGGTAAGCGTTTCTGCTCAAAAGTTTTCCAGATACTTCGTTTGAAGGACAAGGCGGGGGAAGGAGGGACTCAATGGCAGGGTTATTTCTTTCTCTCTTTCCCTTTCTTCTTTAAAAGTAATGGTGTCCCAGATCAGTGGTTTTGAACAGGGTTATGTGGACGCCAGGGGATAAGAGCATCTATTCTCAATGCCCCAAAGTTTTTATCTGATTTTTAATATTTACCAATGAGAAAGAAAACCTCCTTAGTGATAGTTTGCCACCAAAAGACATTATTTTCACAAAATAAGATTTTAATTTCTTTATCCACTATTTCCCAAAACAGGGTCTGAGGATCCTGAGAAATAAGGGAAGGGTGCAGTGTGCTCTGCTTATTCTTGGGGGTCTGAGAAAACTTTTTTCACTTAAAGTCAGTACATTGCTGGCTGATAGACAGATACATGCGTACATGCATTCATACAGACAGACATAGGTACACAGATACACACTTAGACTGGTATGACCTAGGTGTGGATATATATTATATGCATATATACATATGAATGCACGTTTTCCATCAGTACGTGGTTCTCACTGTTCTTTTTCCCCTCCACAGGTTTGGGGTACTGCTTCAGTTTTCTCCCCACTGTCACCATTCTATCGCAGTATTTTGACAAGAGACGCTCCGTGGTCACTGCAGTCGCTTCCACAGGAGAGTGTTTTGCTATGTTTGCTTTTGCACCAGGTAGGTGGATCAAAATAGTTTGTGTGTTAATGTGAAAGAGGGAAAGCCACTCAGCTATTCTTGCTTCACCGACTTACCCACAGTCGGCCCCTGGAGGACAGTAACTGTATGCATAATGAAAGGGTATTTCTCTTCTCCAGCACATTCTGGGGATCTAACTTCCCTTACCCCCATTTAGGAATTCAAACATTTTAATCCTAGTCCAAGTCTACGCAAATAGGAGAATACAGAGCACACATGCAGTAACAAGGCTTGAAACATCGATTCCAAAATAAATAACAATTTGGAATTTGCATACTGTTATTTCTCTCCTTTGTTAAAACAGCCATTTTCAATGTGCATTTAAATTGTGCCCATAAAGTTGGTTTTATTATCTGTGTGTGGGTCATCTGACAGTGAAATATTTATCCCTGGTTTAATTCCTGTCTTAAGATTAACTTGTGAATTACACTAACAAGTAGTAGACAGGTAACCTTGGAGACCCCGATTCATTTCTTACTCTGCCGCTTTTGATGGCTGTGTCAGTGGATTACACCTTGTTCAAAGGAGATACATAGAGAAGTATTTAGGGGTAACATGTCAGAATGTCTAAAGCTTTTCAGATAGTTTGGAAAAATGAAAATATGAGTGCATATAAATATACAGAGAGAGAAAAATGTTAATTGTGGAATTTAGGTAAAGTACAAGCAGACGTTTAGTATCATTCTTTCCACTTTTCTGCTGGTTTCCAATTTTTCAAAATCAAATGTTGAGGGGAGCATCAGTAGCCTGAGTGCTCAACAAGTCGAAACTGCATCTTGGTGGGCTTTGTTCCCTAGCACCAAGCATATCCCTGGTACCAGAGAGAATTCAAGAAATATCAGAGAAAAAGAAATTAGACCCATTATTGCCAAATGAGTCTAACACATCGAAATACCCAAGCCTGAAGTACTTTACAGTTCTAGCTTTTCCATATTAATGGGGAACAACAGATGTGAGCCAGACCTATGCCACAAAAGTTAGTGGAGCCCCCCACGAATGTGGGGCCTGTCTTGTGGTAACCAAGGTACCATGTCTCTCATACCTGACTGTCAGCACTCAAGGAGTTAGAATGTAGTAAAATGAAGTTCTAATGAACATCTTATCACCTTCTGGGGTGATTTTAAAAGTACTTTAAGGTCTTATGGGGCCTGAATTTTCCTGCTATAACTGAGGACCTCTATGATTCCTTTGGTCTTCCCCCTCCCAGCCTCACATTTGGGTACCCCGCCCACCCTTCAGGCTGCATCTGGTCAGCAGCCTAGGACCCAAATAACTGGCAGGGAGGAGGAGGAGGAGGGCTCAGGCGCTTAAGGACATTCCACAAAGTGGAAACTGGAGAACTGTATCATTTCCTTCTGAGATAATCACCCAGCTTTTAGAGCCTTAGTTATTTTGTATTTAATGCATTACTACTAAGGATTGAATGACTGGATGTATAATGCTGTAGCTCAGAGGATGGATATTTTATTTTTGAAAAGCCAGAGGTAAATATAGTTTAGGCTTCATGGACTAGAAGCCTCATTCAGAACTACTCAACTCTGCGGTTACAGCACCAAAGCAGCTGCAGACCATACAAATGAATGAGTGTGGTTGTGTTCCAGTCAAGCTTTATTATCAAAAAGAGGCAGAGGATTGGATTTGGCCTGCAGGCCACTGTTTGCTGAACTTTGATGTAGGTCATAAACTTATTTCACTTCTTTTGCCTCTACCTGGCAAAGTGCATCCTCCAAAACTCTTTTGGAGATCTAGGCTGAAAATTTGTGTTTTATATATAATCATTATGCACATTTCCTCCATATTGATTCCTAAAAGCACTAAAACCTAGAGTAAAGGATATATATATAGTACAGGCTGGCCACATTTACCCTACTGAGTAAATTGTTTAAACAACTAAGTCTAAACCTAAATCCCTATTTCTACTTGATATTTTCTCCTGGGTCTTGAGTCGATGTCTGACCTTACATTTTATTTCTGCTTCCCTCCTGCCTATCCAAGCATTCACGGCTCTAAAGGAGAATATTGGCTGGAGATACAGTCTCCTCCTCGTGGGTCTACTACAGTTAAACATTGTCATCTGCGGGGCACTGCTAAGGCCAATTACAATCAGAGGACCAGGGTCACCGAAAATAACTGGACACGAAAATCCAAAAGAAGTACAATATATGCTTGAAAATGAGAAAACACGCACCTCAATAGATTCCATTGACTCAGGAGTAGAACTAACTACCTCACCTAAAAATGTGCCTAGTCACGCTAACATGGAACTGGAGCCAAAGGCCGATGTTCAACAGCAGATCCTGGAGAAGACCAGCTCCAAGCACAGTGATAATAAAGCCCCCTTATTGGACTTCTCAATCTTGAAAGAGAAAAGTTTCATTTGTTACGCATTATTTGGTCTCTTTGCAACATTGGGATTCTTTGCACCTTCCTTATACATCATTCCCTTGGGCATTAGCCTGGACATTGAAGAGGACCGCGCTGCTTTTCTGTTATCTACAATGGCTATTGCTGAAGTTTTTGGAAGAATTGGAGCTGGTTTGGTCCTAAACAGAGAGCCCATTCGTAAGATCTACATTGAGCTCATCTGCGTCGTCTTATTGACTATGTCTCTGTTTGCCTTTACTTTTGCTACTGAATTCTGGGGTTTAATGTCCTGCAGCATATTTTTTGGTGTTATGATTGGAACAGTAGCAGGTACCCACATTCCACTGCTTGCTGAAGATGATGTTGTGGGAATTGAGAAGATGTCTTCTGCTGCTGGAGTCTATGTCTTCCTTCAGAGCATAGCAGCACTAGCTGGACCACCGCTTGCAGGTAATTTAAATACACAAAATCCAAGCCCTTGTCTACTATCCTTCCCCCCTCACCACCTTTTTTTAAAATTTAAAGTGGGACAGGTGGAACATCTGTAGCCTTTCTCAACTTGAATCATATTAGTTCAAGATGACACTGTTTAGGGCAAAGAATATTATTAAGAAAGACTGGAGATAGCTTTATAGGCTATAAATGGAAATTATATTATAAAGTAGGCACTGTACTATAGATGACATAATCTATAATGTTTAATATTTCCTTATTAAATATGGTAGCGTTCTGTCCGAGTCTAATTTAAAAATATACTAGTTTTAATACTTTCATAGAATTATAGAGTTGGCAGAATTAGAGGTGACCTGAGCAACTATCTTGATTTAAATGTGAGGAAATTGAAGGTCAAAGATTGTGAGCTGATGGTCAAATAGTAAATCAGTGCCCAAATGACTCCGCAGCCCACGCTGCCCTGGCCTTTCTGACCATCTTGCCTTATAAATGCTAGAGGGGGGCCCATGGATTATGACTGTATTGTCCTCTGACGTTTAGAAAACCAGAACTAAGAGACTTGTAAGTCACCTTCCCTTCTTAGGTGTTGGGGAACTGAGCACAGAACAGCACTCTGCATTCACTCAGTTCATTACTATAGAATATTTCATTGTAGGAAGGACATGGTCTTGTCTTAGACCTGACATAGGTCCTTAAAGTTACAAGGGCTAGAAATCTTACCCCACCTTAAAAGATACCTGAAATGAGCCCAAGTGAGAATAATAGAGCTCTCCCCTCTCTGAAGAATATTGCCTTTTCGAAGAAGCATGTTTTAGATTCTCTACTACGACAGATTAGCCCATGCAGACATCTTATCAACACAATTTTCTCAGCTGCTAACAAGTATGGTGTATGTCTGATTTATGTCTTTCCCCCAGTCTAGAAAAGATACCTGCCTTCAACACTTTTTTTTCTTTAGAGAAACAAAGAAAGCAAAGAAACACCAAAGTTTCTGAATTGGAGGGGAGCCTGGGTGAGAAGGGTTTGTGTCTAGGTTGCTAACACGTGAGTGTTCTCTCCCAGGCCTGTTGGTGGACCACAGCAAGATATACAGCAGAGCCTTCTACTCCTGTGCGGCTGGCATGTCCTTGGCCGCTGTGTGCCTCGCGCTTGTAAGACCATGTAAAAAGGGACTATGCCAGCGTCATCATGCAGGTGAAGCAAAGGCAGAGAGTTATCGTGGGAGAGCTTTACAAGACATACCGGAAGACTTTCTTGAAATGGACCTTGGGAAGAATGAGCATAAAGTTCCAGTGAAAATGGAGCCCGTATGACAGGCTTTCATATATATCAGCCACCCTGTTGGCTGGTTGGCGGGGGGCGGGGAACAGCGTCCTGGGGACACAGTGGTGTGGAGGAGCTAACCACTCTACCCACTTTCAAAACGACATTTTAAAGGGAATGTATACATGAACACCACTACCAACATCCTTTTCTTTATTTTTAAGTTTTTCTTTTTGCTTGTTCTTTAAGCCAAAACAAAAGCAACCAAACATTCTTCCATACGTGAATCTGGCTATATTCCATAGCAATACAGAGATATATAGAAGTACTGTGGTTCACATTCCAATTTTAAAATAGTGACATAAATTGGCAAAGTGGTTTTAAGAGCTCTTACATGTGATAAAAACGGCTATCTTGTAAAACAATATCTAGCCCAGGTCATTGAAATGAAATTGGCCATTCAAAAAAAATCTTAAATCAGTTTTAAAATTTCTCATTTTCAGAAATATGAACAAATTGTTTAAAACCCTTTGAAAAATACTGAGGTTTACATTGAAAACTTACAGCTTCTTAATAATCCAAATATTCAATGGAAATGAAGTACACTTTAAGACCAAACATTTGGCTAATAAATGGAAATTTATATATATATATAAATTTATATGTATTATATATAAATTTATATGTATTTTATATATTATATATATATATATAAACTTGAAACTCATGAATGTGAAGATTCCCACTTCTTTTTTATGGCCAGTCATTACCAGAAGTATTTCACACAGAATATACAAAATAGCATTCAAAAATGCATTTCCTGTTGCTTTTAATTATTCAGAAATATGTGATTGTAGTGTCTTTAATTTAAACCACTATTTATTATTAAGTTATTCTAGGATGATTAAAGTAATCAAAAGAAGTATAATCTGGGACATAAGCAGCATTTTTACCTCCCTTCTGCAATCCTTTAAATGCCTCAAAGAATACTACTCTTGTAAAGTTAGTCCATAAAGGCCAAGTTGTTATGGTTCTTCAATTTGATCAAAGGCAACACGTGCTATTTATAGGGAGAAAATAATGAATAGCAAATTGCCTTAGCATTTTAAAATAATGTTTTATCACCTATGAATACTTGAGGATCTTCTTTGATCAGAATTATATTTCATTGAATTGTTGAAGCATTTCTGATTTAAAAAAAGAAAACATCTAACTGCTGGAGCATTTCTGTATTTCACATGGGGCAGCAGGGACATTTATTTTACCATCATGAGTTACAAGCTGCAATTTACATCTTATATAAACCTTGATTGCTCTAAGTTGCCAGAGTTTCCAGGTTAACTGATGGTTGTTTTTTTGGAGTTATACTACACATATAATATTTCTCATTTTAGCCATTTTTTTTTTGTAGAGGGCAAATGTGAGCATAACAGGTGGGTTCCTTACTCCTACATACTGAATCTCACTACAGGTAATGGCCAATGCTTGCTGCTCCATCCTTATTCATCTTTACTGTTAATTTATGACAACTCAGGGGGAAACAATATAACAAGCCTAGTTTGGTTACAGGTACACAAAGCTTGAATATTTCTCTGCACTGAAATGAAAGTGGCATAGTTCATCACCACCTGCTATATTTTGTACAGCGTTTTATCAGCCATAGAAATAGGACAATCTGTAAACCTCTGGGGAGGGTGGGACAGGAAATGACAAGGTGTCTATCAAAAAAAGACACACCTAAAACAAGGTGGATGTAGCAGATCTCTGTCACTGCTGGAGAAGGACTCTGAGCTTGTGGCAGTGTTGCAAACTTACATGACTTCAGCACTTTATAACAATTTTTACTATGAATGTTAAATACAATTTAATATTTATAACTGATTTCTGAACTATGTGCTCTATGTCCATTCTGTTAATTGCATGAAAAAAAAATGTATGCCAATTTCAGTTTGTCAATAATCAAGATTTTAAATGTTTGGAAGAAAATTAAAACGGGATTGCTGATTTGTTCTGTACTACGGACATTCTGGTACTTCTAGATTTGCAATAAATGTATGGCTTTTTTATTTAAAGAGACTGATTCGTTTCTTACTGACTCATCAGCATTTATTGTTTGAATTAATTAAAGTTGTAAAAACTTTTCTGAAAAATCTTTTAACTATACTAGAGACACATAAAGATTTCCAAGAAATATTTGTTGAATTTATTTCTTAGATGAAAAATACATGAGTGAAATGATATCATAGTAGCCACAGAATAATATCTCAGCCTCTCAACTGTATTTAAGTGGAAATAGTTAAGACCATTCAGTTATAGAATAATCCTAAGAACTGTTCTAACCCCTAAGCAAATAGCGCAGACTCTCCAGGCTAGAGGTTGATGAACTTTTTCTGTAAAGATCCAGAGAGTAAATATTTAAGGCTCTCTGGGTGTTGTGAGGGCTCTGTCACAGCTATTCAGCTCTGCTGTTGCAGTGGAGAAATAGTCATAGACAATATATCAATGAATTATCTTGGATGTTTCGGTATAAGTTGATTCATGGGTACTGAAATTTGACTTTCATAAAACTCGATTTATGGAAAATGGATTTTATTCAATGCCATTATACTATAATAACCATTTTTAGTTCACAGGCCGTAAAGACAAATAGGTACTGGATTCAGATGAAGACAGCGGAGGAGGTGGAAGCTGCCTTCACCTCCTCCCACGACCACATCAAAATTACAACTAAATGACTGAAGAATCAATCCAGATAACCTGAAGACTAGCTGAACAGAAGCTTTATAACTAAAGATTTACAGAAGCAGCACATCAAGACTGGGAGGAGGGGCAGAGATGTGAACCTGTCTAGCTCTACGCACCCGCGATAATCCAGAGGGAGTGCTCTCAGGAGGCGGAGCCCCCCCCCTGCGAGCACACCACCTCTTTTCCTTGCCCCTCTTCTTCCCCCACGCATGCTACCTTCCCCTTTCTTCCAAAGGCCTTTCTTCGGCCTCTGTAACTTTCTCAATAAACTTTCTCTTATAGTTTGAAAAAAGAGAATCTGGAGAGACATCTCAGCTGCCATGGTCCCCACTGAGGAGTAAGGGGTCTCAGCCCCACACCAGGCTCCGCGGCCCGGAGCACCCGCGCTGCGAGGAGGGAGCTACGCGAGGCTGGCTGTGGAAATCCGCCCGTGTGAGAAGGGAGGCTGCAGTGCACAAACCCACCCGGACGCTATCATTTAGAATCAAAGGACAGATAAAGAGTTCCCCCGGGCAAAAAAAAAAGCTAAAAGAGTTTATCACCACCAAACTAGTATTACATGAAATGTTAAAGGGTCTTCTTTAGGAAGATAAAGAAAAAAAGATAAAAAAATATGAACAGCCCTGGCCAGCGTGGCTCAGTTGGTTGGAGCATTGTCCCATAAACTGAAAGATCGTGGATTTGATTTCTGGACAGGGCACATGCCTAGGTTTCAGGTTTGGTCTCCAGTTGGAGCACATGCAAGAGGCAACCAATCAGTATTTCTCTCACATCAATGTTTCTCTCCCTCCCTATCTCCCTCCTTTCTCTATCTCTAAAAATCAATAAACATGTCCTCAGGTGATGATTAAAAGTATATATATGAACAATAAAATCACAATAAATACAGACCTACCAGCAATTTAAAAAAGAAAACAACAAAGAAGCAGAACAGAAACAGACTCATAAATACAGAGAACATTTTGACAGTTGCCAGATGAGAAGGGGGTTGGGGATTGGTAAAAAAGGTGAAAGAACTACGAAGTACAAATTGGTTATTACAGAATAATCATGGGGATGTACAGTACAACATAAGGAACATAGTCAATAATATTCTAAACTACATACAGTGTCAGATAAGTGCGAGATTTATCAGGATGATCACTTACTAAGTTATGTAATGTCTAATCACTGGGCTATAAACCTGAAACTAATATAATTATGTTTTCTATGTAATAGAAAAATTAAAAAATCTTTTAAAATTTATAAAAGAAAAAAACGACACAAAAGAGCAATGAAACAAAGAGCTGGTTCTTTGAACAGATAAACCTTTAACTAGATTCATCAAGAAAAAAAGAGAACCTAAGTATATAAAATCAAAAATGAAAGAGGAGAGGTAACAACTGACACCACAGAAATACAAAGGATTGTAAGAAAATACTACAAGCATTTACATGCCAACAAATTGGACAGTCTGGAAAAATGGTTAAATTCCTAGAAACATATAATCCCCTAAGACTGAATCAAGAAGAAACAGAAAATCTGAACAGAACAATTACAACTTATGAAATCAACCCAGTAATCAAAAAACTGCCAACAAACAAAACTCCTGGACTGAATGGCTTCACAGGTAAATTTTACCAAAGGTTCAAAGAACTAACACCTCCCCTTCTCAAACTACTCCAAAACTTTCAAGAGAATGGAAGACTCCCAAGCTAATTTTATGAGGCCAGCATTATCCTGATTCTAAAACCATATGAAGACATTACAAAGAAGGAAAATTATAGGTCCATCTCCCTAATGAACATATATGCAAAAAGCCTCAACAAAATATCAGCAAACCAAGTACAGCAATACATTAAGAAGATCATAAACCATGATCAAGTGGGATTTTTTCCTGAGATGCAGGCTTAGTTCAATATCTGCAAATCAATTAATGTGATATGCCACATAAACAAAATGAAGGATAAAAACCATATGATCATATAAGTAGATGCAGAAAAAGCATTTGACAAAATTCAGCACCATTTATGATTAAAAAAACTCTCAGCAAAGTGGAAATACAGGAGACACACCTCAACATAATGAAAGCCATACAGTATGTGACAAACTCACAAATAACATCACACTCAATGAGGGAAAAACTGAAAGTGTTTTCCTTATGATCAGGAATAAAAAGGGGATGTCCACTTTCCCCACTCTTACTGAACATAGTTTTGGAAGCCCTCGCCAGAACAGTCAGACAAGAAGAAATAAAAACTATCCAAATTGGAAAGGAAGAAGTAAAACTGTCATTATTTGCAGATGGTATGATATTATACAGAGAGAATCATACAGTTCCACCAAAAAAACTACTAGAACTGATAAAGAAATTCAATAAAGTAGCACATAGAAAGTTAATATTTAGAAATTGGTTACATTTTTATACACCAATAATGAACAATCAGAGAAACTAAGAAAACAATCCCATTTACAACTGCATCAAAAAAAAAAACCACAACATAAAATGCCTAGGAAAAAATTTAACCAAGGAGGTAAAAGACCTGTACCTGGAAGACACTAAAGAAAGAAATGGAAAAAAGTCACAAATATATGGAAGCATATACCGTGCTCATGGATAAGAAGATTTAACATCATTAAAATGTCCAAGCTATTCAAAACAATCTGTAAATTCAATGCAAACCCTATAAAAATACCAATGGCATTTTTCACAAATCCAGAACAAATAATCCAAGTATTTATATAGAACCACAAAGGAGTCCAAATAGCCACAGCAATCTTGAGAAAAAAGAACAAAGTTGGTGGGAACATGCTACATGATATCAAACTATATTACAAGGTTATGGCAATCAAAACAGCATGATACTAACATAAAAATACACATAGATCAATGAAACAGAACAGTGAGCCCAGAAATAAACCCAAGTCAATTAATAAATGACAGAGGAGGCAAGAACATACAATGGGGTAAAGACAGTCTATTCAATAAATGCTGTTGGGAAAATGGGACAGATACATACAAAAAAATGAAACTAGACCACCTTCTTACATCATATTCAAAGATAAACTCAAAGATAAACTTAAAGATAAATGAATTAAAGACTTAAATGTCAGACTTGAACCATAATAATTCTAGAAGAAAAGATAGGCATTTATTTACCTTTACTTTAGCTTAACACCTGATGATAAAATAGAAAATGGTGTTAAGTAAGGGTTCCCATGGCCAATTTACATGTCTTTATTACTTCTCAAATATTCTAAAATTCATTAAAAAGTTATCATGAATCCTTATTTTTAAAAGCTCCCAGATATGAGGCTCACTAATAGGGATCTAGAGTTCAAAAGCCATTTCCTTTAAATTTTTAAATTGTTATGTAAATGACCAATTTAAAGTCTCTTCAAGCATGTTACGTGCCTACAGGTCTCTCCTATAAGTATACATTGTATTGAGAAAAGAGACCCTGTCCTTGTCTTTAGATTTGTCTTTAATACAGATGTTAGCAGAAGTGAGGACTCCAACAGGTGGGCCAGCAACTGACTTATAAGTAAGGAATCTGGTGCCCCCTGGTGTTCTTTCTCTGTATTGACAGCCTCAGAGTGCAGAACAAGAAAACTGACAAGAAACTCACAACTTCACTTTTCCTGTTAAATAACCTCTTGCATCCAAATGAAAAATTACTTCAGTGATAATGGACTTCTGAAGGGGAAATTAGACAGCGAAACTGATATCCCAAACCTCTATCTATAAAGGTTTTTTAATGTAGCTCATGAGAGATTATTGACAGAAAATACAAACTGTGGCCATGTAGCTAGCTATATATTATCTATATACCTCTCTAACAACTCAGGAAAAAACAAACATAAAGCAAACAAGCACACTAACTATCCCAGCAATTTACACCCCCAGAATTCACTCAAAACTTTCAGTGCCTCCTCCATACTGTCAACTCCCACATTAAGTCCAGACCACGTCGCTGAGCTCTGGACTTACACAGGCCCGTGGGTGACAGCACATGGGTGCCATGCCACCTGGGCATTTCCAGTTTAACAAGTCCTCCGCAGAACTCTTGATCCTGCTCTCCAAACATGCTCCTCCAAAATCCTGCTGGCTCTGCTTCCTAAATATTTCCAGAACTTGACTGCTTCTGTCAAACCACCAGGACCCCTGATCCAAGCCAACATCATCTCCGCTCGATTACTGCAATCAACTTCTAGCTGGCTTACCTGCTTCCACTCTTGCTATATATCCAACCACCACACCTTGGCCTTCACTTTCCGGATGGCAGCCTTACAATACCCTTTCAAAGCACAAGTCAGACACGGTCACATTCAAAACCCGATCCTTAACAACGGGCTCTTCCTGTACGGCCTGACGGAGGCTATTCCTTTCCCCCTTGGTATTGCTGCTCTAGCCGCACTGGCCTTCCTACTACTCCTTGAAATCCTAAGAATCGGGCCTTGGCGTTTGAGGTTCCCTTTGCCTGGTGCACCCTCCCCTTAATGTGTACATGAGGTGACACTTCCCTTTGGTCCCCTGCAAAAGTCACTCCTGAGGAGGCATTCCTGACTATCCTATTGGAAACAGCACTTGCTGCTTTCCCTTTACGCTGACATTAGGTTATGAAAGTATCTGTTCCCTCATGTTATTACCGGTCTCTTCCACTAGCCCATCAGGGAAACAGTTTTGTGTTCGCTGCCTCACGTCCAAGGTGTTGAGCAGGGCCTGGCACAGAGTAGGTGATGCTCCAAACACACTGCCGAATGAACGAATGACTTCTTTGTTTTTCACTGACTTTTGCAAGAGAAAAAAGTTGGTATCTATTCACAATTACAGCTCAAGAGGGTCTGGTGCTGCTATGAAGCATTTGGACTGCCCAGGCGCAGCACACAAAGCATTGTGCTCAAAGCCTGTTACAGATCCAGCGTCTGAGAGAGGTCTCCAAGTGCCCAGCGATAACGTCCTATATATGCAGGTCAGGCATAACAAAGGAAACAGATCCACCAGAGACTAAAGAGTGGGAAGAAATGACCGCTAGGGTGGAATGCAAATGCAGGCTCTGAGTTTTAACATATTGCTGGAGCAGCCTTTGTTTTCACTGAACCTATTTCTAGTAGACATTTTTCCATTATACGTTTTTTTTAATGTCTCAACTTCTAGCAAGTGTTTTCTGGATATTGAACCTCTTTCTTGGTGCTAAGGCAAAGTACTCTGATTTTTCTGACCTTGATCAACCCCAGATGATCCCACGTGAAGAGAAAAGAAGTTGAAAAAGATTTAATCTTAGAACCCCTTCTAGAAACAGTCGGTAAAAATACAGTAGGTTTCTGGCTTGTAATATTTTTCTTCTTAGGAGGTCATGCGGCCCAGTGCAAACAAAGCAGAACTGGAAATGAGAGGGACTTGGGATTATGCTCCCATTTCTGCAGTTGGTGTCACTGCGCACAATTTACTAAGATACTGCGGGCTTGTCTCCTCATCTTTGAAATGGACTCTATAACATTCATATTACTAACACTTTAAAATCCTGCTTTTCAAAAATAAAATCACACTGAGAGGAAATACTAAGCCCTTAGCAATAGGAAGAGAGGGTACAAAACAACCTGCCACAGAGAATAACAGCAAGATCCAAAAGTGAATCAGTACCACCCCAGAGGCCCTTTCAGTGTTCATGCTCTTGCAGCTGGAATGTCAAGAGTCCCCGTGCGGCCAGAGAACCTGCATGACCTTTTCCTTCTCTTCCACTAATTCAGCTTCATAAGTACACCTTCCATGTAGACTACAAAATGGTACTAATCTAGAGCTGGGGCCGTCCAATACAGTAGCCTTGAGTCACATGGAGCTGTTGAGTTGCAATGTATGTATAAAATACAGCCAGAATTTTAAGACTTCGTATTAAATTAGAATGTAAAAATATCTCGATGATTTGTATACTCATTAAATGTTGAAATAATATTTGGGATATATTGGATTAAATAAAATATATAATTGAAATTAATTTTATCTGCTTCCTTTTGCATTTACTAATGTGGCCATTAGAAAAATTTAGGTTAGTATGTGGTTCATATTTGTACTGGATGGTTCTGCTCTAGATTATCAGTCAGAGCGGAGGAAGTGGTTAAGATTCAAACTTTTTAGAAAGCGCGGTTCACATGCTTTACCCAAGACGCGATTCCACTTACTGCTCTGTTGCATCGCCATACTGATTTTCCAAGGCCTCCCCTGTGCGGCCAACTTGAACATGGACACGTGGGTGTGGCCAAGTGTTTTGCCCTTCAGTAGCAGAGGTCCCAGCGCCAGGGGAGGCGGAGCCACGAGCCTGAGCTCCGGGGTTCCTGGGGAAGGACGTCCCTGTGTCAGAAGCGGGAGACAAGCTGGAACGGTGGCTCCCAGCGGCTAGTCCCGGGCTCCAGCTCCCCGCTCGGGCACAGCACCCAGCACCGAAACCTACGCCGCTTCCTGAGGGGGAAGGGCCAGCGCGCAGGGCGGGCCAGCTGTCCAGCAGCTTGTTGGAATTCCACGTCCCTTGCTCCCAAGAGGGATCAACCCCGCTCTCAGGCCCTCTTAGGGTTAGAAATTTGAAAGTATTCAGTTTGGGCGAATTTGCGGTTCAAAGAACAAGATGGACAACAATCTAAGTAGAATCTTTGCCACATTCTTCTGTTTAACGCTCCCCTCCCCATCAATAGTCTTGGCGAAATGAAATGCTAACATTTAAATCTTCCCTTGACCTGAGAGGTACTACTAATTCCATGGGTGCATTTCAGATTCACGTCTTTCTAAAATAGTGTTTAGACAGTGGAAAACTATCAGTTCTCTTCCCTCTTAAATATCTTGCTCATTAAGCATTTGTAGAACAAAATTTACATGAATTTAGTTTTTAACAACTACAGAAATTTAAACATAAAATTTAGTTGCAGTAAACAAATTTTATTTTTAGTCTTAACCCTAAGAAATTGTCCAAAAGTACATACAACCCAATAATTAGTTATATACAACATTTAAGTGATCATCACTGAATAAATGCCTGTTACATGAAACTTATGTTTGCCCAGCTTTTAACAAGACTAAATGATCTGTTCCTTTAATGGAAGATCTTTTTCCTGGTCTCACAGTGCAGAGTAGGTACAAATGGGCATTACATCTTGTCTAAATAATTGTAACCCGCAATTTAAATACCCTTGTCAAATCTGAGTTCCTTTAGGTTTATAACTACAGGCATACCTCAGAGAAATTATGGGTTCAGTTCTAGACCACAGCAATAAAGGGAATATCACAATAAAGTGAGTGACAGGAATATTTTGGTTTCCTAATGCATATAGAAGTCATGCTTACTTTACACTATAGTCTACTATAAAGTGTGCATTAGCATTATGTCTAAAAACACAATGTGCATACCTAATTAAAACATACTTTATTGCTAAGAAAATGCTAACCATCATCTGAGCCTATTTAAAAAATGGCATTAATAGACTTGCTTGACACAGGTTGCCACAAACCTTCAATTCATTTTTAAAAACTGAAATATGTGGGAAGCACAATGAAGCAAATTGCAGGAATGCTGACCTGAAAGACTAAAATTGCATTTACCTTGCAGGAAAATGAAAGAAAACTGAACAAATGAACAATAATTAAAAGTACATTATTTGGGAATAAATACATTATTGGGGAAACAGGACCCAGAACAGAATTCATAGAAGTCCATGCTCCACGGGTTCTCTTCTCAGTACAATATAAAATGACCAAGTATTCACTTTCCAACTGGATTTAATGGCAAATCATCATTTTCTAACTGACTTAGAGGCTTACTCAAGTAGGAGACTGATTGTAAGGGAAATCACTGATACAGTTCTAAAATGTGCTTTCAATCATACTGCATAAATAAGGACAAAGAAAAAATGTGGGTTTCAAAGTTCAAAACAAAAATTACCTTTAAGTTTCACCCTCAAGGCTAAGATGGGAAAGCGGGAAACGCCCTCTGCCCACCAGCACTCAGTCCGATGATCTGCTCTAAGGTCTCGTCGCTGTGACCAGCACACACTGATTGGGCAGAGGCGGTTTGTCCTGTCCGAGGTTTTCAGCCTGTTTCCCACCACAGAAATGAAGCTGCTGTTCACAACCATCAAGCAGGCCTTCCTGGTCATTCTTGGCATAGCAACAGGTAATCCTATTACACTCTCTCCCACACTGAAAGAAGCACTGCAAAGTGAGAAAGATATTATTCACCTGTTCTAAGCCCACAGAGAAAGTGTAACACTCACAAACATAAGGACCATTATAACTAATTATTTGCAAGAACCCTGACAAATGACTATGTCAGTTAAACCTGACAATAGCAAGGTGACCCCCCATCATTACCACCACCAGCAAAGGTTGGTGTAGTCCAAGTACCACTCTTATTTTCACTTGGAGATATTCTAGAAAGGAGGTTGCATTTTAAGTTGCTAAAAATCAGAAACTAGTTGCTTCTTTCAGGTAGAAACTGACAACAAGCAGAGAAAAACTGGATGTAAGGCAGCCCAGAGGGTGGAAGAAGTTCACAGACAAGGAGACGGTACGTGAATGAAGAAGGTAGCCTGGTAGGTCTAACATAGGAGGAGCACTGGGTAATGATGATACAGGGAATGTACATTGAAAACCCTGTTCTTTGAGGTGTACTTCTCTAACCTGAAATAGTACTGGTGAAAGCAAAAAGCCTGTGACCCTGGCTATGAAAACCAGAAGAAATGAGGAGAAAAGCTTTCCAAACGCAGTGGTGAGGTAGACATCAGGAACTGTCAGTAGAACCAACTACAGTAGAAGGCAGCCTGGAGACCAAGAGAAAGGGCATCTTCCTTGAGAGGCTAGGGAACAAAGGTCCTCCAGGCCCCTGGAAAGTAGGTTTCCTTGATGACCACAGCAGCCTGGAAGAGTAGGTTACCCACACATACCAGAATTCTGGAATTAATCTAATGGTGAGGAGATGGGTACAGCCAAGTCTGTGTGTAACTAACAGGACAAAAAACTGGCACAGGTACTATAAATTTCGATATTATGGTATCCATTTAAATTGCTTTTATTGATAATTTCAAGCAATAGCCACCAAAAGTATACAAATGAGCCCTGGCTTGTATTGCTCAAGCGAATCGAGTACCCGCCTGCAAACCAAACAGTTGCCGGTTCGATTCCCAGTCGGGGTATATGCTTGGGTTGTGGGCCAGGCCCCCAGTGGGAGACACACAAGAGGCAACCACACATTGGCGTTTCCCTCTCTTTCTCCCTCCCTTCTGCTCTCTCTAAAAGTAAATAAATAAAATCTTTTTTAGAAAAAAGTATAAAAATGATACAAATTCATTTATAACATTACCTTAAGGAATGTTGATGTAAAATTGAGAAGAATGAGAATTGAGATCTCTTGAAATAGAGTCCTGCTGGATCGTATAAACAACTCACCTTACAGGACCGAAGCAGCAAAACACTAGTCACTGCAGGAGTATAATAGTTATCAAAAACCGAATAGTCACTGGAAGATTTTCTCTGAAACGCCTTCACTTTGCCTGCATAGCTTGAGCTGTAGAAATCACTGCCATACCTGGCAAAGCTGAATATCCCCACACCTACAAAGAAAAGGACAAGCAACAGTGGATTGAGAGTAAGATGCCTGAAGGAAAGCCCAAAACACAGCCTGCTAGGGCATCCGGTCCGGGAGTGCACAGCCGTACTCCCGTGTGCAGAGTCCAATATGCTTAAGGCTCACCACGACAAAGGAAGAGTTTGCTCCAGGTTCCCTATCAAAACCTCCTTCTTCTACCCAATTTGCCCTGCCCTGTAAAACTCACTCGTCTTGAGGTCAAATTCTTGACAAACTAGAAGCTCCAGAGGGTTTTGTTTGCCCACAACAGAAGTCTTTTTCTCAAAGGATAGTCCAAATCGAGCACTCCAGGAGGAATAATGACAAGGACCACATGAACACCCGCCCTCATGATTTTTCTCTTTCAGAACACAACAAACAGATCTCTGCGGCCTGTGTCAGTGAGGGTGCCTGTACTTGCCGCGTGCCATGCTACTGAGGAAAGGGGCCCTGCCACTGCCCCCGATGCTTTGGAGACCGTGTTTTGGACCAAGCCTCTAGAGAGGACAGACCCTCTTCCCCTCCTTCCCCTTTTGAAGCCCAGCACAACTCTTCCTGTGTGGCTGGGGTCGGGTGGCCAGAATAAACCTTCTTGTGACTGACTTCCTGTGTTAGGTCTTAGGCTTGTCCAAACCATCTTCACACGCACGGAGGGCAGAGATTTTCAACTCTCTCTAAATGATTTTCAACTCATTCTAAAGGGGATGGCTTTATAACTTGATTTGTTTACATTATCACTTTTATTTATGTGTCTTTTCCAGTTGTTTATGGAAAGTCCTAAGGATTTTTTTGTTACGGAAATGATTTCATAGTAAGTTTGTCCAATCCCACTCAATCCAAAAAGAATGCTCCTCACCCCACTCTTGGAAAGAAGTGAATAAATCACTTGTAGTAAAATAATTGTCTCACCGCATGGCAGATCAATCCTGCTATCTTATTATCGCATATGCCATGTAGGAGACTTAATTTTTAAAAATAATTAAAGTAGAAACATTTGGGGAAAATGCTTACTGACCTACTCGAATATGCAAAATAAATTAGCTTGCAAAATCTAGGTGAGCAGTTTTTAACTTTTTTTAATGTTTTCATCTTTATAAGATTAATAATAAAAAGGGAGGTAAAAATTTAGCTCACACGAATTTAATTCTGTCCCTAGAAAATTTGCTCAAACAAAAATCAGGAAGGCAGCAGTGACCCAGTCTGCAAGCAAGTGTGATGATAGGGTCATGGGGAGGTAAGTAGGGTCTATAAGAATATACTGAAGAATTGAGGATAAAGGGGTAGTGAGAAGATGAGATTTTATAGTGCCCTGGCCCTCACCTCTGATGAATGGGTAGGAGAGGGAGATATCTATCGAAAGAAACATTTGTCATAGAGAGGTTTAATGTAACATTGAGACAGTCCATAAACTTGGTGCTCATAAAGAAGCGTCCCCAGTACTTACTCCCCATCCCCAGAACCCTAAGGGACAACCACTCCCTTTAGTGCACTGGACTTCTTCCTTTTGAATGATTCTCAGATCCTGGGCATGTGTGTGGACAAATAAGCGCAAAATGAAGGTGTGGGGAGAACAGAAGTGGGTAGGAGGCAAAAAAAGCAAAAATACAATCTTCCTCTGGATCCACGCAGGGTTCCCAATAAATCAAAGTTTATTATACTCAAATAAACAATTTAAGTTCACTTTTTTAAAATAAAATATCAAAATGTTGTAAGACACAGGATAGGAAGCATATACTTATAAAGCACTCTATGGCTACTCCATCTATGCAAGATGACTATAAAATAAGTAGAAAAACAATTAGCAAGA